GAATCATCTCAATACAGCCTTAAAATTAGAACGGTCCTAGGAAACTGCTGCAGGTAATACCTGAGCCATAGGATTAGTTTTATTAGTTTTAAGACCCGTTGGAGGAGAGGCTGCGGTGAGGGCTTGGCACGTGCCCTGTGCCTACCTCACTCGGGTAGCAAGACAATGGTCAGAGACTTTTCTGCACCATTAATATTATTCTCATTATTTTCAGATCTCAGACTATCTGGAATCACCGAATCTTGTTAATACACCTGGATCTGCCCATCACTGCAAATTTCACTGTTTTGGGGTTCTGAATGATCGCGTTTTCATTAATGTTTCTCATGGTTCAATTATGGGGGGTAATTGTCACAATGTTAACTCCTATAATTACACATCAGTCACGAAAAACTCAAGAAAATGTCTGATAATAATGTTGTTACTGCTGTCAGGGATTCAGCCCAATCCTGGACCCCCCACTAATTATAGAAGACCAAATGATTTTAAAAACATGTCAGGACTTCATTTTCTGCATGTAAACGCTCATAACCTTCTGAGAAAACTTGATGCCTTGAAAATTCTGGTCAGTTATTCTGGGACAGGTGTAATCTTCATCTCCGAAACCTGGCTCAACAAACCTGTACTGAAAAACGACCTGGTAATTAATGGATTTAATATCTACCGCTGTGATCGTCAAAAAAAGGGGGGGTGGAGTCACTATTTACATCAGAGATTCTCTGGTTTCTAGTCTTGTCTGCTAAATCAATCCCAAACCAGTTTGAGGCCTTAGCTGTAAACATCACTTTGAATGGAGGCCAGATCTTATCTGTAGTGGGTTGTTATTGTCCCCCCTCAACAACACCTGAGGCTCTGTCCTCCCTGATAGAATTCATTGGAAATTTAAAATTCAAAGATTTTTTTTTGGCAGGAGATTTCAACATTGACTGGGATAAGTCGACCCCCCTCTGTGATAAATTCAAGGAATGTTGCCTGTTTCTCAATCTAAAGCAACTGATTGACTCTCCTACTAGACCAAACAAAAAGCGTCCTGAAAAATCCTTCATCTTAGACCTGTTTCTAACAAATATGCCTCACAAATTCCCTGGTACTGGTGTATTTGCTGACATTTTGAGTGATCATTGTGTAATAGCGGCTCTCAGAGATATTAAACTTCCACCTTCTAAGGCCAGATTAATTCAAAAAAGGGATTTGAAACATTTTTGTGAACAGTCATTCCTCTGGGATCTATTCCACTTTGACTGGCATCATATTCTATTAACTGACGACGTGAACACCGCTTGGAACTATTTATTTTTTTTATTTATTTTTTTTTCTGGATGGCCTCCCTTCTCCCCTTACAGCCATCCTCTCCACACCATTATTATGAAATATTTATTCTAGTGATTTAGTGTAGTTTTTTTTTGTTTGTTTTTTTTTTTTTTGCTTGGAACTATTTTAATAATAGTTTCATTTATTTTGTGAACAAACATGCTCCTTTTTGTCAGTTAAGAATAAAGGGACGAGACAGCCCCTGGTTTACTCCAGAGCTAGCTGACCTCATGCACAGGAGAGATCATCTTTGGACCACAGAGAGAAAATCTGGCTCAAACACTGATTGGTTGAGTTTTCGGCAGATGAGGAATTCATTCAACCTTTATTTAGACAGGTAAATCCCATTGAGCCTCGAGGACTCATTTACAAGAGAGACCTGATTTCAACAAAGAAAGATGACAACAATGGACAACAGCAACAACAATAAACAATTATAAAAAATCATACTGCAGGGTTTTTTTTTTTGTTTTGTTTTACAAATAGGATGGCTAAAAGGAAAAGGTAACAACAAAAAAAACAGCTAGATTCTAAGGTGAATGTAGAAAACTAAAAACAGGAACATGTCTGCATTGGTCCTTGCCAGGAGTCCAACAGATTCTTAAAGCCACTTAGTGAGGTCAAGGTCGAGAGCTTCAAATCTTTTTGTAAGATATTCAAGGAAACAGGAGCAGAGTAGGAGAATGCCCTTTTGCCTAGTTCAGTCCTCATTGAGGGAACTTTGCAGGTAATAATGTCCTGAGAGCGCACGCTGTAGCTGCACTCACGCAGAGACATGTAGGAGGAGATGTATGAAGGCAGCAGACCAAGAAGTGATTTAAAGATGAAAATGTACCAGTGAGAGAGTCTGTGTGAAGTTAATGATGTCCAGTTAACCAGTGAATACAGGGTGCAGTGGTGGGTACGATAATCACAGCCAGTTATGAATCTTAGTGCACCGTGATAGACAGCATCCAACATCTGCAGGGTTCTTGTAGGAGCGTTCATGTAAATAATGTCACCGTAATCAATGGAGGGAAGGAAAGTCACAGATACAAGGCGTTTTCTAGCATTCAGGGTTAGACAGGATCTGTTTCTGAAAAAGAAACCCAGTTTAACTTTCAATTTCTTTACCAAGTTTTCCACATGGAGCTTAAAAGAGAGATGTGAGTCGACCAAGATACCCAAATATTTATAGGAATCAACAAACTCAATGGGGACACCATTTGAGGATAAAATC